AAAAAAAACTTTTTTGTAAAAAAATTATTTGCAAGAAAAAGAAAACGAATTGATAAAGAATTATAAAACACTGAAATAAATGAAATAATTATCAACTAATTAATTACAGTGTTCAAAGAATTTGATTATTTTTCGATATTGATTAAATGTGTGTATTGTTAAATTGTCAACAATTTTTTAATAATTATAAGGTGAATTTTTTTCATCATTAATTGAACATTCTGCTATTTCAGTAATCCAAAATTCTGAATAAAAAAAAGGAAGCTGAATGAATGAAATTAATTATATGATTTTTCTCATTATTAATTTAACGAAATAAATTTTGAGAGCGAATATATTTTGATTTCATTAAATCTTTAAACTATCATTGCTTCTGTTAGGACGTTTCAATTTGTCAATTAAATTAAACACGTTAAATGAAATCATTTCAATTTCTCATTTCAGTTTTGAGTGTTATCAATGGTGCTTTAAATAGCCAAGAATAATTTAAATTCTAATCATCTAATAGATATTAAAATGGCAATTGAAAAAAACCCGATTCTCAATCAGATTTTTTTTTTTTGACATCAAATTTTTTGATTTGCGACATGTTTCATAATTAGATATTATCATGATGATATTTGAATGATATCCTTAATATTCAATCCTTTATTTTTTGCTTTATTTTTTTATTTGTATTGATTGGCATACTAATAGCACAATTTGGAATGAAAAATAACCAATGAACTGATAACTGGATGATAGAAATTGAGGAATAAGTTTTGAACATGAAGATGTAAAGCTATTCTGATTGTAATTTCAGGATTTCACAAATTCCAAAATTGATACTTGGTTAATTTTATTAACATTAAGAAAAAGTTTAGGTAAAAAAGAAATCTGCATTTCAGGAATTTCTATCCAGAATTCATTTTATAGCTAAAAATGCGTATGGGAAAATTATTGACGATTATACAAGGATAACGCTATCAATTTGAGTAATGCAAGAAACTTAATTGATAATTTTGACGGCAACATAAAAAAAAAAGTTAAAAAAGGATGAATGAGGAAATATCAGCAATTCTGATAATGTTTGAAAACGAATGATTAAGTGTACAGTTGATTAATAGTGTTTAATATCAGCTCAACAAAATTAAAACTTGATGGTTTCCCGAACCAGCAATGACTTTAATGTCGCTAATTCTCGATTTCCTTGAACTTTAAAAATTAAGATTTGCTAAGGCTAGCAACACACAATAGAAATGATGAAAATAATAAAATTGCTATAATGAAATAATTTCAGTTCTATCCTCCGATATCTGTTATATTTATATTTTGCAAATATGCTAATTCAAATGCTTATTACATTAAGATTGTTCAAATATATTTCAGGAATATTCATTTCTATAAGAATGAAATTTCATACTGTTATAGTTAAACTGTAATTGAGCACATTACTTTAAAATATCATATCAAATTTTAGTGCATCAGTTTAATATCATATCATCTTATTTAATCATACTAATAATTTGAAATATTTTTCAACATATTTCACTTGCCATTAATTTGAATTTTTTTTTTCGATATTTCACCTACCTATTGTCATTCATTGTCGTTTAAATTATTTTTCTTTTTTTTATTATAATTTTTACTACTTGCATTATCATGAAAATTGACGAGCAGAAATGAAAATTATAAAAATGACCGTAGTCTTCTTGATCAGAACAAACACATACGAAGTATTGTGTGATTTATTCAAGGATCTTTTTATATTGTGTAGGCTAATTATACGATTTTAAAATTTAAATTTAATTAGCGGTTATCAATATGATGCAGTATAATTTGTAATATTAATAGTTCAAAGACACTATGATGATCGAAAATTTAATAGAATTTATTTGGATTAAGCATAAATATTCAGTAATTTCTTTGAAATTATATTCAGATTGTTATATTTTTGCTAGCATTATTCATTGTCCGATTATGTTTCAGGAAAGTAACTATGAGATTTTAATAATTTTTATTGAAATTATATCAAATAATAAGTCCTAATTGATTTTTCCTTTTATTTTTGTTTTTGTCTCCCAGATAAACTTGGTGGAAGAAATGATTTAAAAAAAGAAAAAAGGAGAGAATTGTGAAAGATGAAATTATTGAAAAATTCCACGGTTTTGTCGATTAAATCAAAATTTCCAGTGGAATTTATGGTTTGGAAATTGGCAAATTTATTAATTAAATTAGCGAATAATTCCATTTAATCTTATCAGTAATTTGAGAAAATTAAAGTGAGAATACAAACTGTGCGCTTATTATAATTTGTCCGAATCATCGGAGAAGCAACATTTTCAAGCTTGGCTTAATTGAAAATATTTCGCTGATGCATTTATAAACATGCTATTGAAAAACAACCGGATGGTAAAAACTTGTTGATTAATTATGCAATATAAAAACAATAAGTATTAATAAATTATTTACTCTTATCAGCCAGTCAGTTAGTTAATTAATTACTTGGAAGAAATATCTACTGCATCAAATTTTTCGTTATCAATTACTGAATGAAATATATTTCATGTTGAATTTTTTTCTCTATTTCATTCATAAATGAAAAGCAATGATTTCACCAGTGCAATCCCATTCTATGTAAGCATCGCCATATTATTCATCAGATAAGATCAGATCAATCAAAATAGCATAGCGCCGTGTTTTTTATCAAACAAGATCACATCATGTTGCTTGCCTTTCTCGTTTTCTTTTTTCTTTTTTTTTTTTTATCCCGATAGAGCGGACAAGTTCGAGAAATCGTTTCTCAATATTCCAAAACAAATTGGAAATAATTTCAACAAATTTTATTTGGAAATTTGAATATTCCCATCCGACTTACATTCTCACCGCATTCCTATGTCGCTATTGAAGTTCGCTTATCCGCTTGCTACTATCATCGTTTCATGTATCTTCCTAGTATTTTACTATAATTTTTCCGTTCAACAAAGTGTTAGCTGCTTGCATGTTTCTTAATTCGCGGTACAGCGGTCCAATCATCAGGGGAGTTACAACCAGCTACAACTGGATCCCAAGGACTCAATTTTTGGATGAGAAAAGATGTGGGGATACTTGTGTGACACAATGTTAGCTTGAAAGAAGCATGACTGTAACAGGGATGACATGATGAGTGATAAGAATCTGAATTTTGTATCGGTGAGGAATGCGAAAACTGAGAGAAGTGATGAAGAGAGGATTTTTTGATCGGATTCTGCCATTCCTAAATTTTCGGTATTGTTAGCTGATGTTACAATCATCATTTCAATATTTCGTTGAATTATTTGCTACTTCCGAACCTTCAGGTTTATTAATTAGTCTTGTACGATTTTGTGCAGATAATATCATCGACTTCAAAGTTTGTCAAAGTTACTGCATTCTTATTGCATATTGTTTGAGATGCGAAATAACGTCATATTGACAGTTTAGCATATAGGAAAGTAACGTCATGTTAACGTCTAGCATATAGGAAAGTAACGTCATGTTAACGTCTAGCATATAGGAAAGTAATATCATGTGACATTTAATATAATATGGAAAAGTGACGACATGTTAACGTTTAGCATATAGGAAAGTAACGTCATGTTAACGTTTAGCATATGACGTTTAGCACAATATGGAAAAGTGACGCCATGTTAACGTTATTTTTTTTTGCAACATATCGCAATTTGCTAATATTAAACAATAATGTAAAATAGAAAGTACGTGAATTTCTTCGAAATAATCATTATTGCAAACATTTACTGTTACGACATCGCGTTAACGATTGATGTGCGAGACTAGCATGAATGTTTATTAGTTTTTAAATATTTAAAATTTTTAAATATTATATTTGATATAGTAGAAACAGTTCGATGATGTGGATCGAATATCACACAAACAAATTACATCAACTCGATAAATCACTTTTCTTATTCAATTATTCAAATAATCATAGAAAAATGATAGTTGGCAGAATGAGGATTTTTTTTTTCGCTCACTTCTATAATACTATTAATGCGCATATGGCACCTAATTGTGTCAACTGCACATTCTCTTCGCATATGATATGAGATCGTCAAAATCGTTCGAGAATAAAATGCTAAATTTTATTGAAATTTAATGAAACTTATCATATTATCATCTCATGATGCTAACAATGCTCTGAATTAAAGCAAAAAAAAAAAGAAAGAATAACCTCCAACCCCAAAACAAACAAACAAAATCTCGGCCAAATCTTTATCAGTCTGTCCATACCGAGAACGTGATGTTCGACCCATGGCCCATCGAATGTGACATTCCGTACGGACGAACTTTGTGATTGTTTGTTTTCAAGCCGTTATTTGGTGGTTTTGAGCGGGGATGGGCAGTACCGATTGGTTAGAGAGAACGCGGGGTCAAGTTTGAGATTGAGGTGAGGTCAAATGGATCGATAACTGAGGGTAACAACTTTTTCATGCAGAAGTGTGAGAGATTCTCAAATGAATCCATCCTTTATGTGTAGAATAGTTTGGATTAAGTAATTTTTTTTTCAAGATATCCTGTGATTTACTTCAAACTATACGCTTAGCTTATTAGCTTATTTTTGAGCTAAAATTCGTGTGCGGCAGTAGGAATATTTGCTACTGCGAAATGGATGGAGTAGATTGTTTTAATTGATTACAGTTAAAATGTTTCAGAAAATTCTCATTTATTTTGAGTGGATTTATCATTTGTATGGAAAAGAGTGCATTTTTTGAAATATAAATTCAAACAATAAATTAATGATGGCAGCGAGTAATTTTAACGACTTCTCCGCTTCAGGTAGTGATATTATTCTTTTGTATTTTGTCTTTCATGGAATATTATGTTACTGACAAAAATGGCATACGGGAAGTTTTTTTCTTCGGGAAGTTTTTTTAGATTTCTAACTTAAACCAAAGAGATGTGGTGTTTCTGAAAAAGTATCTGTTCTCTGGATAGCTTTTATTGGATTTATAACCGCATTTTTGACGATTAGAATATAGATCTTTACCTTTTGTTCAGAAATGTATTTTGGTAAAGCGTTGGAAAATTCCATGAATGACCACTTTTGATTGTGTTGAACAACCGCTATAAGATTTGATTTGCTATATTAAATTGATTTTTATTTCACTCTTAACTTTTGCTTAAGAATATATTTTTCTCATAGTAAGATTTATAGTTTGAAAAATCTAGCACTGATATAAATACATTTCAATGAAAGAAATTTATTTATTTGCAGCTAGTAATTTTTCCGAAATGGTTATTGAATTTAGCGGAAGTGAATTCAACGGAGGTTGGTTGTGTATATATATCTTGAGATTTACTGAAAGTTTTATTTTTATTTCTAAGAGAGATGTAAATCTATTATCGACTGTTTCCTAGAAAAAGACTTTATCCACGTATTTCATAAGTAATAAATGATTTGAATCTTATTTCCAAATGTTAGAGCTTTTAATTTCCATATTTTCAGAAATGGAAGTAGAAACTACAGAAGTACTTCACTACGACACTTTTTTATTATATGCACGTAGCGAAAATTTATCTGATAGGTGAGTTTTTCTTGTTTTTGAAAATGATAAGTAATATTTTGATTAAATGATAAGATTTCTGTTTTAGGGTAGGTACTGCAGTCCAGAATCTCTGTAAAGTTATCTTCTCAGTTCCGCACAGAACGAAATTCTTTCGATTCATCATAGTCTTTAGATTCATAATTCATAAATTCGATTCATAACAGTTTGCAGTATTCTTTCGATTCATAATAGTCTTCATACGTAGGTTTCGTATAGTATATCAAGCTTATCATAATAATATTTATGTAAATTATTGTGAAATAAATTTGCTTCGTGAAAGATTGGAAAGATAGTTTTTCGTAGCTTAGGTTTAGCTACCTGCCTATGTTTTAATCTTTGACCTGATCACCATTCTGAGGCTCTTCAGCTGAATATATGTATTTTGTCACACAAGTTTGAGTACTTTTGGGGAAAGTAGGAAATTTTTTTCAGAGAAATTGCGATCCGCGATCTGTCGAAAATATTACGAACGTTGAACATCGAGAAAGGGCAACGGCAAATTGAAGTTGTTTTTAGTCTGATTGAAAATGTGTTTGCTAAAGAAACAGGTACTTTTGCAGTGATAAAAAATAGCCAAAATTTTTGCTTTTTTATCTTAAAACAGTTTTTCGAAAATATATCGAATTTTATAATCCTTAAGCGACTGCTTTAATATTATTAAGAACCATTCCTAGCTTGCTGTGTTGTAAGCTAATGTAATTTATTAAACTGGACTATACGGATTTATTTATTAAGTGGATTGGGAAATTCATTTAAGTCCATACGATTTTAAGCTTTGGAATTGTTGCTGGCAGCGAGATAATCGAGCGGGAGGGTTTTTGTTTCAAAATTAAATCAAATTTATTGCGTTTAGGATGGGAAGACAATTAAAATTTAAATGAACTGATTTTTTTATTTATTTAAAGCAAGTCTTTCACTAAATTGATTTTCCTTTTTTGAATTGCAGATAGTAAATTATGTGGTATGTTAGTGGAACAAGTTCCATCATTGTATGTTGAATTTATGGCAGTAGAATACTTGTTGAAAAGGGTCCACAAAGTATTCTCAGCATTATTAGCGAATGCGCTGGATCATGCTGCGGACGATGTAAGTGATTATTTTTGTGAGTCAGTTATGCTTAAATTTTATAATTTATTTTAAGAGTTTATCACTATTTTTCCAGAAATATGAAATACTTGTAACATGTTTTTATCAAATGCTATTTTAAATGAACTCATTGATTCCTTTTTTTCTGTAAGGAGATAATTTTTTTAATTCATTTTTTATTTCTTTTTTCGTCTTCTCTTATACTGTTCGATTATCCCTTTTGTGGCTGATGATTGTTCCGAAATTTGCCAAACAATTTTTCCCGACAGTACTGTAGAAAAAAAGGTTGTGCTCGAGAAATGAACAGGTTCTTGTTAGCTTCGATGGTCGGTAATTTGCAGTAATAGCAACAGGTTTTTAATGTCTTTCATCTTTGTCTTTACAGTACAATCAGTACAATACTTTTCTTCTTTTCTTTTTTCTGGAAGATTTGTCCATCTTTACTAAAATAATTTCAAAAGCTCTTATTGTATCGCTTACTTCCTTGTTTTATGAAAGAAAAACCTATTATTCCTTACTTAATTTATTATCCCTTACGTAATTATTTCTTACTTAATTTGAATCAGAACAAATAGACCGAATTGCCCAAGTCTGTTTTCATCTAATTCAACAAGATTTTTTATTTTCAACAGCTTACTCTCAAACTGAGTAGCTGATGCAGATAAAAGTGGATAGTTATAAAAGTTTTGAAATTTCAATTTATGAGCTTGAAAATTTCAACTAAGTTTTGAAATTCCTGAAAACAACTTAGATTTGAACTTTTCAGTAATTTAACTACAGTTTAATCAGCTACTTTTTGTCGCTTTTGTAGAATAATGCATGTAAAAAACTGGAACAAATACTCAAGTTCTACTTGTAAATTTGGTTAAATTGAAATGCAGGTTTTACTTTTCACATACTTTGTTAAAAATATTAGTTTTAAAAGTTAACTCACGGCAGACCCATACTAGCTTGATCAATCTTGCTTTGTTATGATTCATTAGGATCACTGCGATCTAAATATTTAATATAATTATGAGGGTTATGCATTATATGTTAAACATGTATGTTGCTTCCCAGAAAACCTTCATTGCATTAGATATCGAATACTTTTGATCAATTCACCTATTGGTTAGGCTATATGCTTTGAATATATAATAATTCTCATCTTTGGAAAGGCGTCTATGGGAAAATGACATATGCGTAATGAGAAGGAGGGAAAAACTGCTCTTCACAACCATCTATTTTGCATTTTTTTTTCGTTTCTTTTTTCCTCGTTGTCTTCCCATTCGTTTCGCTGCAATGACTTGAATTTTTTTTGTCTTTTTGTGGGCTGTTTTTTTTTAGGTGATTATATTGAATTGTGCTGTTCCGTTGTAAAAGCTCTTCAAGCAAAAAGCACCAACATCAGCAATAAGTTCTTCTGACCTTGAAAAAGAAAAGAGAGAAAGAATAGGCGAACCACAATTGTCCTATCCTCCTTTATTAGTTTCTTCGGATGAACGAAGAGAAGAATCCAGGAGTCAAGAATGGAGTTTCAAAAGTGATGGATTAAAGTTCTTAATGAAGTGATCTTAATGAAGCAAAAATGTGAAGCTACTGCTTGATAATAAGCATTAAGCAACGATACCATTCTATATCATAATAGAGAATATTCACGAATAATTCGTACTTGACCGTGTATTACGTATAGATGTCGATGATAATTGGACGGGGTGGTGTTTTAAGAATTAGTTATTAGGCATATTTTTAGGGATAGGAATTGGTTACTAGGCTTACTAATTGAAAAAGTTGTAAGAGATGTTCCAAGTTTTAAAAGTTTTTTTCATCGATTCTTTTCTATTTAATATTCTTCTGTCCATCATAATGAGTACGCGAACGTTTATTGAAAATGAAGTCCAAATTTTCAACTACATCCACTATAAAAATGTTAAATTTGTCATCGCTATTATTAGAAATACTAAATCAGACCTCTTTTTAAATTCTTTTGATAGTATCGAATTGAAAAATAAAAATGCTCGTATGCAAGAGCGCTATTCGTAATCTAATATTGGAGATTTGTCGTCATCGAATTTATTAGGAGAAGATGTGAAATACAGGGACGAATTTTGTCGCATGAAATCAGCAATTCATCGATGTTTTAAACGCCAGATGTCTGAGAGAGATAGAAGAAACATTAACATCATTTGGTTTATAAACTCATTCAGTGATAGGTCAGAAGCGAGCAGTGTTTAATGTCTCAATTCGTGTAATATTTTAAGTTGATACAAAGAAATGTCTGAACGTTTTGCGAGTAATATGATACGGAAGAGTGAGAAGAAAACGATGCTTTTTGTGAATATCTATACGGAAAATCACAAGATAAAATAAAAGAAATGTTAAAATCTTTGTCAAATTTTTTGAAATTTTTTTCAACCATGTTGATATAACGTCGTATTCATTATGAAATAAAGTGTGGTAGATAATTCGCGGGTGGAAATTCTGCTCCAAGAGTAAAGAGATGTTTCAGTTTTAGAAATTTTAAAATGTAATTGATCTTTAAATAACAATGAGTTGTTTTAAAGAGCTTAAAGATTTCCATCTATTAAAAGTATTCATTAGTAAACGAAATGACGTCAAAGATGCGATTATATTATGAGAACGGATTGAAGATTTTATTCTCCTCTAAGTGCTCGTTTATCTTGAAAAAGCATCTAATTAAATAGGTTGTGATTATCATAAAGCGATGAATAATTTTTACTGAAATTAGCAGAATAATCGGTATAAACTGTTCTTATAGTGCTTCTATAATCACTGTGCATTTCTCCTGACTTTAGTTTACTTAAGCAACACCATACATGCATTCATTCAACTGTTTCATTTCATTTCCAATTTGCATGCAATTAGTGGTTAAAGGTATTTTTAAATTTTAAATTTGTTCCCGTAAACTTTTCCAAATAATTTATCTTTGATTTTGTTTTGATTTAATCCAAGCAAGAGATATATATGTGCAGCTAACGCAACTGAAAAACAAAATTGATATTAAATTAATATAAAATTAGACAAAAATTAACTCTGGAAAATCATTTTTGTTTTTTTCATGTAAGTAAGTAATTTGGTCTTTGATGCATTGTTTCATTGAGATGTTTATTTAAACGAGTTAACTTTTTCCTGATATAACAAAAACATTTGAGGAATTTGATTGAACACATGCATCAGCCTATTTAATGATTTGGCAAGGGAAAGTGTGGAGGAATAGCATTATAAGTAAATGATGATGTTTTAGTTTTCTCTCATCATATTGTTGTTGTGTTGCTATTATTTTCTTTCTTGGTTCAATTAACTTTTTAATCGAATCAGACAATGAATTTGAAAAAAAAAGAACTATAAGCACAAAATCTTGAATAATTTGCAGCTAGTATTAATTTTTTGTCACCTTTCTTGGAGAAGATTTATGAGTCTAAAAAGAAAGCTTCGAATGTATATGATGTGAAATTTTAGTTTACAATAAATTTTAGGTACGTAAATCAGCAATTGGTGCCATTGATTCTTTGGTGGAGCGACGCATATTGCCACAAGGTATTTTTTCATGTTAGATTTTCAAGTCAAATATATTCTAAATTTATATCACATAAAAGTTATATGATGTGAGAATTCGTAAATTTCTCGTACTAGCAATTGATTGCTTCTTTGACGGATTAGATATTTCCTTCAGCATGACGTTGGTTTCTTGTTGTTTTTTATTCTCTCTTCTCTACTAGGTAAATTCTATTATTCTCTTGTCCTCCTATTTGCATAATAAATTGTATAACTGAAAACAGTTAGATTTCAAGATTTATAGATTTTTAAGGAAAAAAATTGGAGTCACTAATATGCCGGTATAATAGGGATAAAAGTAAGTCTTACTGTACATTTTTCTAACTGGTTTGCTAAAAGTTGATTCATAAGATTGGTTCATGAGAAGATATTTTTAATCGCTGTCCGCATCTTTCGACTATTTTTTTCATGTTAGCGACTGAGAAAATACTGAAATGTCCTTTTTCATTTAATCAATTTGGTCAACAGATAAAGGATAAAAAAAATAGGGAAACTATGCTGTACTGAATAAGTAGACAAAAATGCTTTACAGTAACCTAAAGTGATTGCAAGTACATTCTCTAACATGCAGAACAAATTTCCACAGAGACCCGTTCCACTTTATTAGTCCATCGTTGACATTGTTAATTTCTTTTAAGATAGCGCGTATAAATTCAGTAACTACTTTAAGAATTATTTATCCGTATACACATATATAGATATAATACTATTATTTTCCTTTGAATTTTTTTTTCGATTTAATTTTCAAAGTGCTTTCTAGTCTTTCTTTACTCATTTGATCTTATGAAGCAATAGGAATAGCAGAGGCGCTTTGTGTGAGGTCCCGACGCCATTATACTCACGATAAATATTGCCATTCTATTTTAGTGGTAGAAAAAAATCCTTTTTTTTCTAAGGATTTTTTTTATGAATAGAAAAATAGCATCGTATTTTTATTCATTTTTTTTTTGGAAGAAAAAGTAAATAAATCAAAATTGAGAAGATAGAAAACGAAAGAAAGTAAATAAATCACTGCTGGCATGTTTCCCGTTGTTTAAAAAAAAAAAAGTGTTTTTCTTTCAGATTGCAAGTTAGTGTGAGGTAAACCGTGCGAGGGAAGCTCAGGGAAAGGGCATCTTGCTTAGAGTTAAAGAGTTGAGTATCCCTTTCTCTCTCTCTCTATCTATGTGTGTCTGTTGATATGTGTGTATTTGCTGTGCATTTGGAAAAGTGAATTGTATTAAAATAATTGGTTTGGATACTTTTCCGGAATCGTTTTATAAGAGGACAAAAGGATTAAAATTCCATGGTGAATTCTTCTTATATACGATGCTTCATCGTCTCTTTATTTAACTGATCTTTCTACTGTGTTTATAAAATATCTTGCATTGCTAAAGCGCATTAATATATTGGAGAGTGTCAAATTGTTTCAAACTACTTAAAATATGCTAACCATGCGATTAGTGTGTTGTTTGATCAGCGAGTTTTTTCGGTCATAGATCATCAGCTTTGGAGTAACTGCTATGGATGAATGTATGCATGTTAGGTATGTGTATTATCACCGTGAGTAGGAGATTTATGAGACGGATAGCATCAATCTATATATAGTCATCCATCAAATTGTAGGGTTTTTTTTTGTTGGGACGTTTCCCTGCATCAAATTCAGATTTCTATGTTTATGTGATGGGCATTACTGGTTTATCCCTTCTGTTGTATTGGGGAAAAAATTTAAAAAAAATTTTTTGCAAAAATTGAAAGTGACAGGTTTGGAAATGTGACAATATTTTGGATTCCACTGACTGTTTTCAATTTTAGCAAAATAGGTAAAGCAAAGCATTTTGCAAATAACAGATGGAAATTTTGCAAGAATTAGAAGTGCAGGATTTGGGAATAAAAAAATTAGATGCCATTGGGAATAGGGACATGGAGGAGATTTTAAATGATACATGTACGAGTTGGGAATGAATGCTCTTTGAATTGGAATAGAAATGAGTCGAGTTCAAGTAATTCAAGTGAGAAAGGGACAAAGCTAGTAGAGTTTCTGGGACACTATACGCTGAGAGGCTATCGTCGTGAGGTCCTTCTTCCTCCTGGCATGTTTCTCATCATCTATCACCTCACCTCAAATTGCTAGCCTCTAGCAATAATCCCCAATGACACGTGTTACCTTATCTTGTTGAACTTATGCTTCTCCCTCCCTCCCTCCTCCCTCCCTGTATTTCAACATCTTCAGTATCCCTTGCGAAATCATCGCTGCTAGGCCAACTCACACGCAACCAACCAATCGATGAAAGTATCAAATAGAGTGGATGTGAGAGGATCGAGTGCAGAGGGAGAGGAAAGGGGAAGGGAAGAAGAAAGGGTGCTTGTTGAAAATAGCTGGAATTAATCCTGCAAAGGAGAGTAGGAGTAGGAGAAAGGGGGTGGAGTGAAGGTGAAGTGATGGCGGAATGGCAGTGGTAAGCAATTGGTAAGCATACTCTCTCAAGCTCTCTCGACAGCTTTTTTTGTAAGACACCAGAAATGCCATATACATTTTTCTTTTCTTTTCTTTCTGCACTCCCTTCATTTTTTCGCTTCACTCTTTCTTCCACTCTTCCTTCGAAGTGTTATCCTTTGCAAAATTGCAAATATGCCGAGCAAATGTAAACTTTCACTCTCATCATCTTTCTCTCGAGAAGAGAAGAGAAGAGAAGAGAGGAGGGGAGGGGAGTTGGAGAAGAGAATATATCTGATATGTAACGTGTAGGAGGCAGAAGAGGCCCGCCTTCACGATCCTCACTCACTCATTATTGTGTCGCTTGTTGCTCTCACTCGGCAGACACAAAAACTAACTGGGAGAGGAGGAGGGTCATGCCATTCAGCCAACAACGAAGGAGAAGAGATTGTGTGTGGTGATGGTGATGATGGTGGGGTAGTTTGCCCCTGTCGAAGGTCCCCGAACTTGTCGCTTTAACTGCCTCCACGGGTTGGCTGCTTCTAATGCCTTCTCTTTCCATTAGATTGGGTTGGAATGAGATGGGAATGATTTGACCACATCGACACAAAACTCTCGCTCTCGCGGTCCTTCACTTCAGTCCCCTTATTCATCCATCCATCCATTCTGCTTTAACCTTCACCACCAATTCATTCACTACTTGACCTTTCGTTACCATTGCATCCCTCTGAAATGCTGCTATTACCTTGTCGACAATAAAATGCAGCTGTTTTCGATTTTGTCGCGCTATGACTCTGCTTATCCCTTCATTCCTCTCTTCAGGCTTTTCTTATTTTATTCTCATACTGCACTGCACATTTCAACTTTTTTCTCATCCTTTCCAAATATTAATATGAGGATTGACAGTAATCCTCTTCCCATATCACAGTGCATATTTGTCACCGCAGTAGCGACAGCACCGCAAGGTTCCTGACCTAGTCTACATTCTTCCTTCATCTCATCATCTCTCAGTTTCTGCCATCATTACCTAACAATCACTGTACAGGCAGACACATACACTCATAAATATACAACTTTTGCTTCGTTTCATTTGAGTGCGATAGATCACATTATTCGTCGGGGCTTTTTTTTTCCTCTCATCATCTGATGCAACGATTATTGTATGTTACTGCTATTTCTATTTCCTCCTACTGCCATCATTATTATCAATGCTACATTGAATTTATCGACTGCAATTATAAATTTGATTTGTTCACTCGGTCATGCCTGAAGTGTTTTGTGATTCTGATACTCTTCAATAGACATTTCTTGATATAAAAAGTCTAATGAATGTTCATTTAGTTTAGTAGTGAAATTTGAATTCTTATTGTATTTGTTCGAGTAAGACTCATGCACTGTTGCTCTTCTGTTGTTTCGGTGAGGCTAATTTCATTTCTAAAAGAATTTATAGATTAGTGTATAAGATTTGTGGATGTAGGAAGATGACTAGCTGCCTATTTTTAGTATCAAGTCTTTCAGGATGTTTACAAAATGTGATTTGTCCTACATTGTTTGGGCATTGCTATTCCCCATCTGATTATTCGCATTACATTACTGATGACCAACGAGTGGAATCGCTAATGGTTAGTTCCTAATTTATCATTGGTGTTATTCCTTTACTTTTTTGTGGATTGAAATTTAGTGGGGCAGTGATTTATTTGATAGGTTAACAGTAACTTTTTCCAAGCATTGTTTTGTGTTTTTGTTTTAAATTCGTCTTGTATGTTAAATTATAGAGTGATTTATATTCAAATATCGAGCAGCTTATCAGAGGAAGGGTAGCTAGAATTATTTCAAGCTTTCTGATCTCATTGATTAATATTTGGCTTATCTGTGAATATCAAAGTTCGTTAGTTTATATTAATTTATGTATCCAAATCTACCGTCGGTTCTCACTGCTTTTTTTTGCTTTAAATATTCGAACAGCGTATGATATAATTAGTTGCACACTGGTGGCAGGATATATTTATTTTCAAGCTATTCTTGATATCCTTTGCTCCGCTGCTCGATGTTTCTTTTAGAGCATTTATTAGATGTGATGTTGTCACTTTTTGAATTTTGAATGTGGACTGTACAATTTTCGAAAATAATTCGACATACATTGCATCCATCTTTTTCCGTTGTAGTAAACGTATGACGTTTGGGAAATGTGTAATTGGACATGTCAGTTGTACAAAAAATCAGGATCAAAAATATTTGTTATTATATTATTGTACAAGTTCCAGAAGCACCTGATCAAATTACACTCCTACGTGTCCAGTCTTTCAGTGTACTGTTATGTTTGTTTGTGATAGAATAGGACTATTTTTTGCATTATCGAGCAGGTTTTCTAGGCATAATCATATTTTTTAAATTCAGGTGGATATTTAGAAAGTGTCAAAATGAAGTGCATAGTACTGAGATTTAAATTGAAGTTTAATTTATAGAAAGCCTCCCAAGGGGTGTAATTTGATATTGCGTGTACCGGAAGAAACAATCTATTCCTTCTGGAGCATGCTGTGTATCGATGGTGAAAGACATGGGTAGTGAGACGTTAAAATTTGAAGGTCGTATCACTATTCTGTTTTTCGCCTCGTATCACGGCGACGCCCCCTTCTTACAGTTATCATAATCACCCTATCCCTATTCCGCCAGAAATTCGTCCAGAATAATCTCAGTTGATAATACTCGATTTTTTGGTGAAGTTGGCTGTTGCTTGAATGTGGACCTGCCTGCAGATTGATATATAATGCAATTTTATTTTGTCGCGAAAAAACTCATTACTGACGCTGTGTGATATTAGCACAGTCAAAATCTGCTATTTTTGCCGTTACTAATACTGATAGCGGTGTTCTCGTTTATACTAAATGTTGATTGAATCAGTGAAAACTGGAAGCTCGCTGCTTTTTTTTGTCATTACTGTTTTGTGTATTGCGCGTTGTTTTAGATGAAATGATTAACAGCTAAAGTTTTGCCCTAATTGTTTGGATGGTTTCGGATTGAAGAACCAAATTATTTTGAATTTGAGGTTGTTTTGCGATATATTACTATCTGATATTATTAAGCAAGAAGAATTATAGTTTCAAGCCGAAGCCATCGTATGCATATTTTTATCACTTTGTTAAACAGTAATCTCTATTTTATGGCACATCTATTTGGCTGCTAACAGTTACAGTGAACATTGAAATGGGCTGCACTTGTTTTAATTATCACTGCTGTGGAGGCGATCTTTGCTGGTGTGGAATATGTTAAAATTTATGGGATGGAGTACTCTTAAATTTCGTTAATTCACCGTTTTGAATAATCCGAAACAGGTAAGAAAGGGATTACTTGAAATTGCTACCGCAAATTTTATCTTAGATTGGGACATGTCGCAGAAGAAATACAAACCGGTATTTTATTAGGCGCTTAAGCGCGGTTTAGTTCAGTATATGTAAAACATTGGTGATAGGAAACACCTGATTGAATCTGTGTTCTGCAAGCAAGATTTATTTTAAGGAGCAACTTAAGCGATTGCTGATAAGCCGAGATGGCGGTGTTTCCTTTCATCTTTTTTTTGGTAAAGAAATTCTCTAGTGACTTTGTTTTTGCTCGTTTGTAGAAGAGTTAATTTTGGCAGTTGTGTATAGTAGCATTATTTCATCATTTGAAATGTCTGTTTATTAATTGGCATGATATTATAGTGCTGGTGATGACGAGTGCAGTCGTAGTAATAATTTTATTGCGAGAGTGATAATTAAAATTCCAGCATTAATAGAATTATTGCCAGCAACTGCTAGTGGCGTAGCATTAATGGTTGAAGTCAGGGTAACATTTATTACGGTTATGATGATGATGGATAACTTTGATGATCATAGTTTGGTAGTCAAACAACGATATTTATGGCAGCTCTTCTCTGGTTTTTTTTCATTTTTTTTTACATAAGAAGAAATCTGTGCTTGAGAAATATGGCAGCAGGTGCACCTAAATAAATTCTCTTGTTTCCTACTTGCTATGTAATGCATAATTTTAACACAAAGAGTTTTTTTTTTGTATTATATTTTAGGTATTTATTTAGGTCAGAGTAAAGTAACGGATGGAAATATTGCCATTTGGCATTACATATCGGAGGATTGTCGAATGGGAAAGTAATCATAATGTGATGCGATCGGTGAGAGTATGGGTACGGGTAATAGTGCGTGTATTGGGAGGTTTATGTGAGTGATATATGTATGTGTAAGTGTAGTGTTATCACCAGTTATAAAGGAGCGGAAAGTATTAAGTGGAAGAGACAAAGGCATTATTCATTCTACATTTACTGTTGTTGAGCGAAAAGACTGTCATATGTAGGAAATGTGTGTATATGTCCGGGAGATGGGAACTGTTGTAGTTGGAGATGTTTGCTGTAGTAGTGGTAGTAGTAAGAATATGAGTAAGATGAATATTAGATGAAAGGGAAAGAAAGGAAGGGAGCTTCATGGGAGAACAAAAAGTTTTTCCCTCTCCATTTTGCACCGTCATCAGACTATCTCACCAGCTGCTTTAAGAGAGAATATTATAGGAGGGATAGGAAAGGAAGAATATGACAGGTGTCCCTGAAGCAAATGGCGCCTCATTTCCTCTCCCCCTCCTTTTTTTTGCACCATCCCGCTTCAATTTCATTTTTTTTTAAATGATTGTTAGGTGAGGTTAGGAGTTAGGGTTTGCATTCAGTAGTGCGTGTCGATGAAGCGATATTACGAGTACTCACCATTTTGTCTCTTATTTTCAAATACTTTATGCATAAAGAAGTGCAATGATGGTGATGGTGTAGGCGAGGGTGTAGGAGGAGAAGAGGAGGAAGATGTCTTTTATTTATTGAGCAAATGAGAATGAAGGTAAGAGTGAGGCATAGCAATTTTATTAATGTCGTAAGGAACTGTTTTTATATGCATGTACTCTAGTAGTAGTATATCGTAATAGTTATAAATTTGCTGAAAAGTATTTGAAATTTGTTGCTACGCCTAAGATGTATCCGTCATTCCTTCAGTTTTCGCACGATTACCTTCCCACTTTTTTTTTAGTTTGTATATTTCTAAATTCTTTGCTATATGACAAAAAAAAAAAAAGTTTTTTTTCGAGGTTTATTGCCCTATTTTCTTTCATTGTGAGCTCGGGTTTCCTTTTTCCTCCCTTGTTTCTTGTTTCGTGCTGCGAGTATTTATAACGTACACTATGGTTTTTTTTTTCCTTTTTTTTTATAGATTTTTGTGACCGAATTTGCAGGTCCTATGTTGGGAAAAGGAGGTTTGTAGACGAGTTATGTTAATGGCACATCGAAAATCATTCATCACAATTGTCAGTTATCAAATGAAATTGTGCTCGAACAGTTCACCCCATGACCAAATTGATGCTGAGGATGGGTCGACGCTTGCTTGAATAAGACTTTGTAATTTGATGTATGATAAGGAGCCAACTGGAGTTATAAATAACTTGAGTTTTACTGGTAGTAACAGATTTCAGAAAAAGGCGTAACACAGATAGGTCTAGCGAGATCACCGAAACGGGTACAGTAATTATGTACATTTTATTATGTGAGAACACTAGTTTGGAGTGTTTTCGTAGCGAACAGTTTGTTGCTTATTTGCACTTGAGATTCTGTTTGTGAATATTGGTTAATTTGACTGCTTGTTGAATAAAGTCTCGCTTCTCGATAGGAAATATTTCTGGCGATACTTAGTTAATAAGATGTGTTGTTTTTAAATTGTTTTGCAATTGCTTATAGTATATTTCGTTACTTTAACTCGTCAATAGTATTTACATACGGTGTGCATGCAGAGTGGATTTCGAACTTCATGCACTGTTGATCTGTAAAATCTTGATATGTTACTTTTTGGGGAAATCTTGGACTATGTATGGTAGTTTTCTTTTTCGAGAATTCATCGAAAAGGACTCCTCCAACACGTCAAAGTGGTCGGTGATGTGTCGCTAAATGAAATTCATATCACAGCCAGCTTTGATGTGTTGTGCGCTTGTCGTCCCATCATAATATACGTATTCAGAATCAGAAACTTTCAGGTTTAATCCAGCATCTCGTATGACCCTATGCCTTGGTGATACGTCAAATATGCTATGCTGTTTGTCGGATAGAACTGCCTTATCTTCCGTAGTTTCTTCATATTTTGTTACATGTAAACTTTGTGATACTTTGTGAGCAGTTGGGCCTATGGATCGCATTGCTTTAATGCAGTATCAGAAAATATCCATGTTTTCAGGACCAGTAAATACATGTGCAGTAATTGGCTTTTTCGCAAAATGTCTCTGAAATTGTAAATGATTAAATGTTTTGGTTGTAATGTGTAGCGCATGCAATGGAAATATATTTCATTTGTTTTAGTTTGAAAATTATCCCGAAAACAGCCTACTTGTTTGTTGTTTCTGTTATTGCCATCATTTCAAAGTATATATGCTATTGCTTTTTTGCCCCCATTCTGTCTTCCAAATTTCACAAGGATGTATTGCAAATAGTGACGGCATCTTGTGTTCTGTCTTTTTAAAAATAATTCGAATCGATAATAAATAAAAGTGTCGAGAACTTAATGTTAACCATCATGTGGTGTAATTCATGTTTATGGTAGGCTTCTGTTGTTATCATTTCTGATTTGTTGATTGAAAATGTCCTTACGCTGGAACTTGTTTGTATATACTGAAATGTTGAGAACAATAAAATTTCTAAAGAAAAAGGAAAAAAAAGGAGTATAGTTGAAGAGAGGTAGCGGAGAATAGGTGAAGGGAACAGTATAGCTAAAAGATGAGAGACATGTAATGCTGACAATGTTTTCAGCTTCTCTGCAAAATTGTCACATGGCCAGGAGCATTGACGAAGAGATGGATTTTCGAAAATTTTCTCGGCAGATATAGCATTCTGTTGCAAGATACTGCGTTTCATATTCGGAAAGTAATATTAAAATTTCGTTTTTCTCCTTAAATTTTAATATGATACTAAGTGTACCTAAAAAATTACACTTTGTAGGAACTAGCAAATTACCAACAAACATTGATAACATAGGTTGCTTTTTTTTTCTCTTTAAGTGACAAATTTTCAACCGTGAAGATATGCACTGTGTTGTGTGCAATAAGATTATTGAACTGTCACGTGTGGATTACTGGTGCCAAAGATTGTATTTTTATTGATTGATTGATTGAACGCAATAGTGCGGAAATACCCAATCCTATGTGATATGAATTTGGTTCTCTTTCTTTTACATACATTAATTTCCTCTTTCCATTTTGATTTGTGAAATTACAGGGTAAGATTGGTGAGAGAATGAGTGATTTCGAAATTGAGAAGGCCTTTTAAAGGTGAAATGACGGAGTTTGGTTAGTATCCAGGAAGGGAAGAGGTAGAAAGAGTAGAGAATTCAATGCTTTATAATTTTTTAAAATGTGACACTCGCGCTATCGTTAAACCGCATTTCTTGCGCGCGTTGGAAATTGGTGAGAGAACAAAGATAAGTGGGGAGGAAGAAGAGAAGGATGGTGATTTCGTAAGTTGAGCTTGCGCCAAAAAGACCAGAGGTTTCCAGTCATTTGGTTCATTATTTTAATAGATGGAGGATTAAGCATAGTAGAAGGGAGAGGGTGGGGTTAGTATCACGGTCAAAGGTCATTCTGGCAAGCCATTCTATCACTTCTCTTACTTCACATGGTTTTTCAAATTTTACACATACAAACATGTGACACAAATTACACACATTGTGAAACATCCTTTCTCCCTTCAATTTGTGCCAGAAGAAAGACTTTTTGAAAGAGGGAAGTGGAGGGAAAAGAAATATATAGAAAAATGCTTCGGCTTGATTGCTTTAGCAATGAAATTATCCCATTGCTCTCTAACGTTCTTACGAAACGGCCATTTCATTTTAGAAAAATTGTGCAACAGATAGGGGAGAGCGAAATACGATATATTTATTTGTTAATGCAATTGAATTTATCATCGCTCACTATGTTTGATACATTTTTTATACATCTGAGAGCAAAGGTCAAGTAGGGTTTAAATGAGCGGACAAAAGATGATCTGGATTGACATTTCATAGCTATTGGTGAATATTTTTCGTTAGCATTGACTTATGAGATTTGAATTTTTGAATTATCGAGGCAATAATTGTTGACATAGTTGGAAAAGAGATTTGAAATATGGAAGAATGAAAAAGCATCAGTTTCTCTTTTGGGAGGAACAGTCAGCCAATTGCCTAAACTCTTCCGAAAGATTTCCGAGGAATCAGCAGATGTTTACTATGAAACTTCCGCAAAGAAAGAATATGTTAATATGCGCAGGCAATGGTAAAAAAGAAGAGAGAAATATGAGGAAAATTGGATAAATAAAATGAAGAGAAGAAAACATGACATAAAAGTTGATTTTTATCGTTCTCAGTGAATACCACGAAGTTGCAGTGAAGCATAATATGTCTACCTGTTGGATACATCACGTCATGCTAATTCATTTTTGAAATCAGTTAAGATGGTCATGCTAGGATGACATAAAATTGCGTAGAGTCGAGGATGCAATTAATGGTTGGAATATTTCAGGGTATAATCGTGAATATTTTTGGGTAGGATTTCGTTGTGTTATCTGGAAAGTGAAATCCAGTTAATTTGAAATCAACACTCTTATCAAGATTTTGCCACATGACGTTTGGTATTTTAAAAATTGGCGGGCAATTCTAATCTTTTCTGGATTGTAAAATCATGTAAGCTTTGAGTAATCCAAAATGTATAAGCTTTGTAAATTTCAAATCTATGATGACTAGGAGTCTCTCTGTATTAGGTAAGCAGTTGACTAAGTTAGTAAGAATTAAACAGCTGTAATTGATTGGAATAACCGAATGAGAGTATTCTTACTCTGTTTTATTCAGGCAAAGATTGTGGGATTTTTTCAGAACGACTAAAAACTAATACGGAAAAGCAAACACTAATAAGCTTGGAAGGGCAGCAGCAACAGCAGCAACACTCTAAGCTAATCTAATCACATTAATGTTTTTTGTTCATGAGATGGACGGATGGATTGTATTTGTGAAAATGATAGGGTACAAAAGTTTTGTGGAGTTCACACGATTAAATTGATGGGATGAAGCAAGATAAATTGTCAACTAAATAATAGATGAAGAAGATTGGATAGATTATTCATGAAAGAATAAAATGAAGTGTGGTGTGTTGACGGTTCAATAAAAATTGATTGATCTTTGTGATGATGTGATATGCTGTTGATTCAGTTAAGTGAAAGTTGGTAATAGATGTTATAAAATACATAATTCGGCTTGGTAATATATTTTATAAAATATTATGCTTGAAATATTAGGTGAAATTTTAATTCTTATTATTTAACACTGTCAACCATTAAATAATCATCATAAATTAACAACAAGACATATGAGATTTGAAGTGAAGAGGGATGTGATATAAATTGATATTGATTGCTGTTGGTAGACAAAAACATATACATAGAGTGAGTATAAGAGTAGGAAGATGTTAAATGGTTGTAAATGGAATTAAAACATTAAGCAAAAAAGCAAATAAATTGCAAGTATAAAGAATCCAGGTTGATAATAAATTTGAAATTTTAATATTCAATATAAAGAGATGATAGCAGCATCATTTAATCGTTGAAGTGCATTCGTTAACATGTGATTGATAACCGATGTACATCTGTCTTTGTGAATGATAGACGCAAGAGGATCGGGATTTATGATTTAAATTAATTTAGAGTTCAGTCTGTCTGATTTCTTATAACTTGTATAAATATGTCATCAGTTATTTCACGAATTTCAGACATGTGTAACGATTCTGGGAAAATTAGCGGTGATGTTCGGGAGAAATTTCACAGAACAGGTGAAAAAAATTAGTGTAAATTTATTTATGCTAATTTTTTATATATTTTAAAGTTATCTCTATTGATAGCAATTGAAAGAACAATGAAGATAAATAAAGAGATGAAAAATGATGAAGAAATATTTTTTGAAAGAAAAAAAATGAGAAAATATTCACGTAGAATTTTACATTACTGTTTGATGTTTTCTATCTTTGTCGTTTTTTATTCATTGTTTTTCTTTAATATTTTTAAAATATTTTGTAAATTTCAAGATTTCTCATTTATTTGTTGTTTTTTTTTAGTTTGCAGTACCATTTTTAATAACATCAAGTGAAGATCTAGCATGGGGTGTACGAAAGTCATCATGTGAGGTGTTCGTTGACGTCGCAAATAACTGTACGATGGAAACGAAAGAGCGCAAACTTGCGCCACGTTTCATTACACTACTTCATGACACTTCACGCTGGGTAATTCTTCTGTTCCAATTTTTTTCTTATCTATAAAGTTTATTATGTTTCGCATTCATTATTTCAATTGATTATTGTTCCATTCATTATTTTGGAATATAAATTGAGCAGTATTATGTTATCCTGTTCGCTAAATCAAAACTGTGTAATCATTACAAAAATAAAGATCTATATTATTATTTATTTATAATAATCAATATAGTGAAATGATTCTGATTCTACCATAAATTAGCGGAAATGGGAAGGATTAATGTGATCATTAAAATATTGTAATAATGCTATGAAAGATCTCATTTAAAATGAATTTCTTTCCATTTAAGATGTGATTATTACCAATAATTTATAAATATTCGTCTCTTCTCTTTTTCATTTTTCAGAAAATTTTGATAGATTCCAAAAATTGAGTGCATTTTTTATTCACTCTTTTTCATATAGTGTGTTTGAACATTTAATCATCCTTTGTAATGCTGACGTTACAAAAAATGTTATTAAGACGTATTTACTCTGCATGCTTCTAAAAGCTTGAGAAATAAATTTCCGACTTATTCATCTTTTGTTATTACAGGTAACACATGTTGCATTCCAACAGCTTGGTCGCTTCATTGCAACATTTGCAGATGAAAATCGTACGGGCCTTGAAATAAGGGATGGCCGATTAGTTGTTGCAAATTGTTAGTTTCCTGTTATTTTCGAAAAATTTTTATGAATTTCTTTTCAGAATGTGATATCAGATCATTCATTTGTCTATGCAAAAGGTTTTTGTCGGATCGATTGTCATTAATCTCCACATAAGATTTGTTCACTTAATTATCAAATTGGTTTTAGGAACTTTTTTTGTGTCATACTTTAAATTGATTTGAATTATTTCTATAATATATGCTCTCATTTAGTTCTGCCACCATTTATTTCGTTGCAAGTATTTGAAATGGATATTTATGCTTTGAATTTATGTAAACTTTCATAAATTCACTTCGTTTTTCTTTTTTTAGCTGATATAGCGGAAGATGGCAAAAGTACGCGAAATAACAATAGAACTAATGGAACAGTTATAGAAGAGGACGAAAATGAACTATACTGTAAGCTGCCTCCAGGTGTTGTATTTCCGGAATCGGATGCAGGTGACGAGTCAAGAAAATCTTCAAGTTCATCATCACCTCAGGATCAAAGGTTATTGATGAAATTATATTCGTTTAGTTACATAGGTACATCGCTTGGTTTCTTTATGAGTATAACGAAACGTGATCATATCTTCGTGTGGTTAGTGGAAAATCTAGCGATATGGAGATTTTACTATTTGCAAAAGGCAGAATTACAATTAAGCTGCGGAAACTTACTTTTGATCCTTGATCGCATATAAAATTGCTTTAAAATTTCAGTTATGTATTAAATGAATTAACTTGCTTATTGGATTCATGGGATTCATGGGCTTTGTCTACTGATTCTGTTGACTCAGAGAACTTGCTTGCTCACGATTCGTAAGTCTTTAGTTTCTGCATCATTGACTGCAGTGTCATTTTTATTTCATTTAAAAAAGTATTCTCATTATAACATTTGTTAGCTTCTCTGTCATTTCACAGCCCAGTAAAACATGACTTCATAAAAGTTGGTAATGTGAATATTAATTTTGTTGCTAAACCTTTTGTTATAGATAGTAACATAGCTAACTTGTGTTTAAATGATTCTGACTTCCATTAGCTTGCGGATTTCCAAGTATCTTTTCACAGCGGCTAAAAACATTTAGCAAAAAAAGGAAAAAAATATTCGCTTAAATGGCTTTGAACATCCAGTTTTGTAACAATATCTTTTTTTGTTGTTATTTAGTATGGATTTGGATATTGCAAATGGTGTTGCGGCATCATGTTCAACGCATTCTGACTTAACAAAATTGATACTTGCTGATAATGATGATAGTAGTGATGAAGATAACAATGATATTGACAAAATCGATGAACCATGTCCGATGGATATTGAGGACGACGATATAGAAATTTGTTTTGAGGCAAAGTTTTTTCTTTAGAGGCCAAAAATTCTAAAAAAATTTATCGAAATTTCGCCATAATGAATTTTTACCAGAACAGCTAGAAATTGAATAGAAAATATCAATTTAATTCAGAATTTCGAAGATAAAATTCAAAAAGTAAATCGAAAAATTAAGTGAAATGTTGTATTTTTTAAAAGAATATCAAATTGGCTTAATACTTTGGCACTTTAATTAGGTAAAGGTAGAATTTTTTCACAACAATTTTGGCGAAATTCAAGCTTTCGGTTTTCAGGAACCATCGCAAATGGATGATAACAATGATTTAAGTGCTTATTGTCCTCTGATATATTGGTCAGCGGAATCTTTTGACATTGATTTAAGGTCATACGGAAAAAGTACAACAACCAATTACAATAACAATAATAAAAGCAAAGATAAGGATGATGTAAAGAAACTTGTAGCTGAATTTTTTGAACGGCGTTCAGATTTATTTCACCATTCATCAAAACACAGGTTGAATGTAAGTTTTAGTTTTTATTTGTTGATGTTGTGCCATTCTTCATTCGGCTTAGATTGAAATGGAATATTGTGCTGGAGATAGCGCAATTTGTCAATTGCTGCTTTTTCAATGATTATAACTGCTTTTATGAGCTGATTCCCACATAGGCAATTGCAGTCATAAATGTGTCACATGTCAAGTATTGCATGAATTGCTGTCAAGTGAAGGAAAATTAATCCGTTATATTTAGTCAGAAGTGGTTAGAAATTAAACATCATGCTGTTTTGTTAAATAACCTTACCATTGTTATGTAAATAATGACTTACCTAGTATATATTTGTAGATTTGGGAAATATATATTTATGTTATGGAATGTTAGAGCTTTCTTTCTATATACATGCAATACTTTACAAGCTAATTTTTATGTTATATTTTGGACAAGCAACATATTAAACTTGATAATATGTGATAATATGTTCAATCATAAACACCGAGTTGAAATGCAAACTTTTCAGGATGCAGAAACTGTAGTTGATAAACACTCGGAAGATGATAGTTATATTATGGAGGAGGATGATTTAGATGAATTAGATGGAGTTTCGGATGAAATGAATAAAGCTCCAACGATTTTGTCAGAGATATGTCTATCAGCTGATTCTGTTGAAGATGATGAAAATAAAGGGACCACATCTTCAGCCATCAGTATTACAACACAGGTTTCATTTTTAGGCAAATTAATAATTGATTTATGAGTTCTGCAACATTTATTTCATAATACTTCCGTTATGACATATATAACTGTCATTATTATTAGTGCTTCTCATTTTTATATTTTTGATGATCATTAAGAGCCGAATTATTGATTAAAAGATTATTTATACATAACAAAATTTCAGATGGTTATACCACAAGCTCTGCTTGACAGTTTCGTGCATATGGTCTCATCGTGTGATAATGCAGATAGTGAAATAAACCGGCAGTGTGCCCATAGTTTTCCAGCTGTTGCCTTTACCCTTGGTCGCAGTAACTGGCCTTGTATTATGGGTACATATAAGCAGTTAGCATCAGATATGCAAGTATGTTTTTTGCAATTTATCTCAAAGCTTCATCGAAATGAGCTCTATCTTATTATAAAATTTTAACTCCAATATATTGGACATACATAGATTTATTCCTTTAGTGTAACTGCTTTTTCGATTGTCATTTCTCTCTGTTGTGAATGTAAAAATACTGGGTAACTTGTTGCTGTAGGTAAAAAATAAACTTTCTGGTTTTTAAGATAGTAGTGCCAAAAGTAGGTTAGATAACTGTTGAATATATTAGGAAGAAAGTATATTAGAACGATTCATGGAAGATCTGAAACTTGGATTTTCATTCTTTACTTCTAAGCCGTTTTAGTGGCGTGTTCGGCAGACGTTGGCATCATCGATCCACGAAATCGCAGCAATTATTGGAAAGGAAAATGCAGATATTCATTTAGTACCTGTATTTGAACGATTCATGGAAGATGTGGAAGATGTGAAACTTGGGTTACTGAATCATTTGTACGATTTTTTTAAGGTAGGTTTATGATTACCAGAAATATTTTTATGTATATATTATTGTTGGATTAAGGATTAAAAACAAGATTCGTTGAGCTTGAATTGAGTTAAATAAAATCTTTAGGAACTATTGTCTTTTTAAATAGACACATTTATGTGTAGAAGTCGATTGGTCATTTCAATTGCTGTTTGAATTAGTTGCTTATTTGAACATCATTTTTATATTGAACCAAACGAACATTTTGTTTTAGCTCGTAACACCTGTTACAAGGCGAAAATTAATATCTCTCTTGCCTAATTTTTTACATTCCAATGCTGATAGTGGACGTAATTGGAGGTATAGATATGAATATGTCAGGTAAATTTGTTTATATTTCTTTGCTGACATAATCTTAATGGTCCTAGTGATATCTTCTTCCATTGAAGTTTGCCGATTGAGTGAATCTATTCTTAACTTTTTTTATTGTTTTGTTTTATGGATTTTAATTGTCATACTTTCTAAAATCAGCCTTTTTTTCAGGCAGTGTATTCTTCTATGTGATCTCTTTTCTATGCATGACGTTAATGAATATTTGGCCGCTATAGCTTTAACATTAGCTAATAGTTGGTTTTCAGTTTTTAAACAGAAAAATAAGAAATCAGTAGTTAAAAACAGAATTGCTGCTTTTTGGATTTTGCTTCTCTATATGAGTTTCTCAATCACTTCATTAATTGGAGCAGGGAGAGGTATTGAAGTTATGGCTTATTTATTGAAATAGTGTTTTCCATATTTCAGATAGAATATCAGATGTGCGGAAGGAAGCAACTGTACTGTTGGCAAAAATATTAGGAAAATTTGTTAGTGAAGAGTGGACTTCGGATTGTACTGATTCTTGCAGAATTGATATGTCATTTATTCCAATCACCTATTCATTTATCACTGACATTGTGAAGGGATTTGCTAGATCAATGAACTGGCGAAGGAGGCAGACGTGAGTTATCCAATTAATTTGTTTTTCGATTGGTTTTTGTCCGCTTTGTCTAGTTATATGAATCCATGAGAAAGACTCATATAATCCTTTTTGATTTTATGTAAACTGTCTTCGGGTTATTTTTAGATTTGCTTTGTTCTGTGAAAAAAGTCTGAAAGATGAAGTGTTAAACTACGATCAGTTCTCATTGTTATTACTGAATGATTTGATAAGGCTAGCAGGAGATCGTAAGTGTTCTATTTCAGGCATATTTAGTAATTATGTATTTTATTCAGTTGTATAGAGCTTATAACCTTAAATTCAATGCTAAGAAAGATGAAATTTTCCAGTAAATTTGAAGTCGGGAAATAATAATTTCTAGCGGTATTTTTTTTTTCAAATTTCTAGCGGTAGCAAATGTACGCTTGGCATTCGTACGATCTCTATCAAAAGCTCGTGGTCGATACGCTTTCGGTAGATCATGTGATTCATCAATTGTACAACATAGTCTCGAAATGTTGCTTTCCGATAAAGATCTAGACTGTAGGCGAGCTGCTCGAATTTCACTTGGAATTCCGGATACTGAAAGTGCAGTTAATGTAAGTTTTCGATTTCATAGAAAGATCTTTATCTTTCTCCGTGACTTTCAGCATGATTGGTTTTGTATTATGCCCCCACATTTTAGCATTTTACTATGTGTGACATTATTTATAATTTTTATGAAAAGCTGAACATAATTTCATGATTTTTTTCAGCTTAGCAAAAATTGAATTGGATACTATCCAATTTTTTTCAGGCAGAAGATTACGCTCAACGGCTCCGTGAAACGAGCGAAATTCTTTCAGCCAAATATCACACCAATCGACTTATGTCTTCCGACCATAAAACAATCCCGAAAGCAGTCTGAAAACGATGCAGTCAACATCATCTTCTAGTGCCTCACTTTTTTCATGAATGTATGATATTTTAAATTCAGGATACGTGTACCATTTTATGGCAATATTTTTGCACAGGAATTGTTTTTCCCCATAGCACAGTTCATTTTTTTTTCAGCATATTGGAAGTCAAAAGTTGTATTCTTCTCGTTTGAGTGTATTAAAAGATTAACATGACAATCTTTTTGTCATGTGGTAAGAGGAGCTTTTTTTATACAAAAAATTTTTTCCGTGCATCTTTCAACTGTTTATTCACATGCACGGATATGTGGATATACTGTCACTTAAATTGTATAATTTTTAAAATTACTTTCACTTATATATAAAAATGAAGTTTTTATCTGTCGTTTATCTCTTCATCCTGTCAAAATTTAAACTCTAAAAACGTGAGTTATTTTTGTTCTGTTCAGAAGCATAATCTTCATACATTCCAATCGCATTATTTACATGGAAAAAGCTCATTGAAAAATCATTCTCAAATGTAATTTTTTTTAAGTTCTCAAAAATTTTATGGTCATTCAATATTTGATGTCTTTCACGTATGTTCTGCTTATCACTTATTCTCTCTTTTCTCATCCTCCAATTCCCTCATGTTTTTTTTTTCCTTTTTTGAAACTTTATTTTACAAGACTTCTAACTTGCTCATATGTTTTAAAAAAATCATATATTTTGGAACATGGTTCAGTCGCAAGCTCTCTTAATAATAATAATAATTTTATTGAACGTTGCAATGAGGACAAATGCGTGTAGGAGCATATACATGTGTTTGTAGTAGTTTGCTACTTAAATTTATTTTCTGGTGTTTTTGATGGGTCCAGTGCCAGTGAATTTGAATTTTATGATGTCTTTAAATTTCCCTACTTATCATTACATTAATTTTTCGATACTAAATGATTTCATTACTGCATGTTTTTCTTTTTTTTCTGAAATAAATTACATTTCTAATTGCAGGAATTAAGTGTATTTCAGAGCACAGTACTCGTATTAAATCATATTCTTTTTGCACAAAATATTATAGCTATTTCAGTTTGCACTTCATCATATCGAATAAGTCTTTTAACCTCTTCTGTTCTCTCTAATTTATCAATGGCCTAGAAAGAATTTTCAGTGTTTTTCAGAAATGATGGTAATACTAACTTTTTTTCTTAAATTTTTAAGATGTTAATTCTTGAAATATTATTACGAATATTTTATGGAAATTGTTTGAAATAAGATTTATCTTCATTTTTCATAATTGTTAATTAGAATTTTCTAATTATCAAACCATTTATTTTCCATACAAGATGTACTACAAATGCCGAAGATAAAATAATCAAAATTAGCATTTGGCGGCGATTAAATAAGGCATTTTGATATTTTTTATCTGTGCACACATCTGTCATGTTGTTTAGTGTCGAATGTATCTGCAAAAGAATATTATAAAAATTCAATACTTAAAATTTTTTTTAAAAAATTAAATTTAATTGAGGGAGTTAATATTGTCCTCTGTTCGTAAGATACGTAAGTCTGAAGTAAAGAAATGTGTTTTTTCTTTAGTTTCAAGCTTACTTTGCCGTCCAATCAATTCTTCCCGATGGTTTTGTGCTTTGATTGTTTATTAGATTTTTTCGGACGCCAAATGATGGTACATAACCTTCAATAAATTATTTTTTTCATGATTCATCACAATTTTTCAGTCTTCATAATTTAATTCATCATGAAATTCTATAATTTCGTTTCATAATTCCATTCATTCGTCATCGTAATTTAAAAGAAAAGAAAGATTAATAAATTTACCGTAAGCATATTCGAAACGAGCCTGTACCGCTGATCTTGCTGGATTTGGTTTCTGATTTGATCGCTTTGCTGGATCAATGCTTTGTTGATTTATTTGATTTAGCATAAGACCTGAAAGAAAAAAAATAACAAAATGTTTTATGTCTTATTGAATAATGTATATTATTATAAAATTCAACTTTTAATCGAACGAAAAAATGTTTTTAATTAATAATAAGTAAGTTTTTAATTAAATAAAAATTGGAAAAGAAAAAACAAATAGTTCTTTTATTGAAATAAATTTTTTCGTTTTCAAATAATCAATAACTAACTCTGTTAACTATTTTGAAAGAGATAATAAGTGAAGGAAAAAAAAAAAGAAGTTCAAACAAACCAGGCATATATCTCGATTTTGACATATACAATTCTCTGGCAGGTAATTTAGTTTTCATAACTACAGTTTTGATTGTATCACTATTCTTATCTAACAATGTATCATCTTTTGATGGTTCATCCATCAATCTGCAATTTTATTCATTAATTATGATTAATTAAGATTATCGTTTTTCTTTTTTTTTGATTTTAAATAATCAATAACTAACTCTGTTAACTAAGATTATCGTTTTTAGTTGATGGAAGTATTTTTCAATTAAATAGGAAAAAATTTTGTTTAAAGATAATTATTTCTAAATTATTTACTTTGTAATGGGCAAATTTCTATTGATATTTCGTTCCGAATTAACATTTTCCATATCAATTTTTGTCTCAGAAACATTCGTTTTCAATTTTGCTTTACCAAGTAATACACATGAATCGGATAATGTTGAACCGGCACTCGTTTCACGATTTGATGTGGACGGTTGACTGACCGCTGATGCTCCTAATTTTTCTCCAACCAAAAAATATCTATATTTCAAAGACTGAAAAAAAATTGACTAATTACATTTCGAAATTTTTGTAATTGATTAATTACATTTTAAAAATACTAGTCTCATTTATTAATTATATTTGAAATATTAGTCTCAATTTATTAATTACATTTTTGAAATATTACTCTCAATTTATTAATTACATTTGAAATATTGGTCCCATTTTATTAATTATATATGAAATATTAATCTCATTTAAAATTGCATTAAATTCACTAACAGCAATAGCACTAGGACGTTTTTCCGGATTCCAAAGCATCATATCTGTCATCAGTTTGAGACCATCACTACCAATTGAATTTACAATTGTTGAAAAAGGTATTGCAACGCATTGTTGAAATTTGAAATTCATTGCTATAGCCAACTGATAACCTTCTGGCCAATCATCCTATAGAACAAATCATTACTCTGGATAGTATTAATTTAGAAAAATTTCTTATCTTATATATGATAATATCACAATAAAACAACTGACATCAACACTTTTAAAATAATTGAAAATTTTATGATTTGTAATATTTAAGTATTTCATTAAAAATATTATTTCCTGTGGCACATTATTCCCGATGTATATTTCAGTGTATATTTATTTCACAATGCATATATTTTAATGTAAATGAAAGGGATAATATTCGTGCTTGTAAAATTTTTTTTTGTGCCAATCTTAATTATATATAAGTTTTAGCATTATGAATTCTTTAACAGTCTTCAAATTTAATACTTCTTAAAATAATATTATAATTGAATTTTAAATGAATACTAACCTTACTGGGTGTTCCAAGTATTGTAATAATTTTAAAAAGTTGATCCAATTCTGAAGTACCGGGAAACAATGGCCTAAGCATATATAATTCAGCCATAATGCAACCAAGTGCCCAAATATCAATTGGTGAATTATATGATGTGGAACGTAGAAGAATTTCCGGTGCTCGATACCTGAAAATTTTAACTTTTTTTTTTATTTTAGGCAAAGTAAGGGTGATTAATTAATTCATGCATATCTTAAATTCCCATTTTATCTTCTAAAAAGGCCTTTTATAAGCTTATTGGATAAATCATCCAACGATAATAACAACACCATTTATATAGTTATTTTAATAATAAATTTTATCACCAAATTATCACATTGTTATCAAGCATTGATGAAAGCTTTTACTCAATAATTCAATAAACATTATTCCTTACCATTCGGATATTCCAATTATCACCTTTTTTTTATCATACTATAAAATTACCTTGCCGCCTGCTTATCAGACATATATTATAATTTTATCACAAATTATCACGTTAACGCACATGCACACACATACACACACTCACGCACGTACACACACATACATATACATACACACACGCACATGTAAATGCATATTTTTATTACATTATTATATTGTAGAAACAGTCTAACCCATTGCTTTCAGTTATCTTAATAGAAGTAAACTTCTACTTAGTAATTATTTTATTAAAATTTATTCCATTTTAATGATTAGAAATATTGAATTTAAGCATTAAAAAAAGGACTTAATTTTAACAATGAAAAGTTAAATTGACTAAATAGAAAGAAAAACTGAAAATTTGCAAAATTTTAAGGATTCGAAATAAATGAATTTTAAAAAAATGAATAAAAATTTTTCCCATCCAGAATAAAATCATACCAACGAGTGGAAACATAATCGGTAAAGGGTGGTCTCGAACGAATTTCACGTGCTAAACCAAAATCAGCAATTTTAACAAGTTCGGTACCATTACACATGATATTTTCCGGTTTCATATCACGATGAAAGAAACCTAAATAGATTACGGTAAATACACGGTAATGAGTAATTCCCTAATTCATTTGGTTCATCTCTGAAAAGTTATAATAATTGTCGCTAATTATGCTATTTATAATTAAAAAATATTTTTGATAAAAATGATTGATATGGTTTGAATTTCTCAAGTGAAAATTTTTTTCGTTGTTCCTAGTTTTACCATTTTTTTTTTTTACTTTTTAATTTTGAAAAATTTTTGACCAGCAATGAAAGAGAACTAACTAACCATTTTTATGCATATAAGCTAAACCTTGTAATACCTGATAAATTATATTCCGTATAATATGCTCCGGAAAATATCGATCTCTAAAAATTTGGATAAAATAAGCATAAAATTTATTTCCTATTTTCCAGTTCATTAAATTTTCTCATTTTAAATTTATTGATTTGTTTCTTTTTTAAAATGATTTCCTCATTTCGTTTTTATTTTTACTTAGTCCTACAAATGGATTTTTTTTTTAAAGAAATTAATGATAGTGATTATCCACTAATTCTTTCCATATTTTTCTTTACATCACTACCTATGAGTAACGGTAATGGAATTGAATTTATAAATAAATGATAAAAATTTCAAAAATAATTTCTGATTTTCAATTTTGTTCAAATATTCCGTCTTCAGAAATGCATGTTAAATGATATTAAAGTAATCAGCAAAATAGCATTTCCCATATTAATTGGTAAAGCAGTGAATTCAATGTGATTAATGACGTAATGCACATATATTTTATTAGTTAGGCAAGCAATTTGAATAATTAGTGAACTAATTTCTGAAATAAATAAACTTGAACCAATAAAATGCTCACTTAAATTAGCAATTTAGATTTATTAATCAATGACGCAATTATACATGCACTTCTAATGATAATCTACCATTCTTTTTTTTTTAAATTTCATCTTTTAAATAGATGATACTAAAATATCAAATTTTTAATTTCCATACTGCAATGCAAATACATAAGATTAGTTAAATTTCTCCCATTATATTTTCGTGCTGCAAATGGGTAGTGTCAAGTTTAAAAATTGCATTAAATGGATCGAAAAAAAAAAGTATAGACAAAAAGAGAAAATGAAAAAAGTATTGCATGACTATTAAATAGATGAAATTAAGTATGGATAAAATTTTATTGCTGCAAAAATAGGGCCAATGTTAGAAATAAGATATGAAAAAGAAACGAAAAAATTCTATTAAACCAAAAATTACATTAAAAGATGCGAAGAAAAATGAAGAAAAAATTA